ATTTTAGTGTTACTTATCAAATTTCCACTATTACATGTATTTATCTTTATCCAATCTACGAAATAGCTAACATATTTAATATTTTCTCACATAGTTTTGTTTTCGACAAATTTATAAACGTTTAAGAATTGCTTTCAGTGCAGTACACTGCTAAGGTGAGCATATTTTTACGCCTTACTGTCTATCATCACCTTCTTGTAATTAACATGATTTTATGCTCACTAGAAATTAGTGAAACAGTAAACAAAAGATGGAAATGTACAAAAATTAGAGATCATAAAAGCTTTAACATGGGCAGTAAATGAATGACAAAGGCAAAAAAAAAGGAACACAAATACAAACATGAGAGCATAAACATGATTGCATGCGCATGTAAACTGTAGATAATAAGGCGACTCTAGATAATAAGGCGTAAAAGCAAGCTTACCTTGGTGATGTGCTGCGCTGAAAGCAAACCAAAAACAAACATTTAGAAATTTGTGACGAGAACAAAACCATATGAATCAAATATGATAGCTAGATAGTAGATTGAGTGAAGATAAACACATGTTATCAGAGAAACTTCTGTAAATAACACTAAAAGTGGCTAAAACTTTTAAAGCGAAGTGTAATATAGAAATAAACGGTCTACGCATACAAAATATGAAACTTACAACTCACCCCGATATGTGTTGTTCTGGCATCTAGAATGAAAAAGAAAAACTGGAAACTGCAGCTCATTTTAGCAGATTTGGCTTGAAGCCAGCTGACTTACGCTGATGGGCAGCTAATACTACGCGCAAAGCGGAGATTGTTTGAATTTTCACGATCCTTGTTATTCACATATTATATTATAAATAATATATATATATATCATTATATCATCACTTATAATAAAGCTCTAAATTTGTCTGTATGTGTGTGGGTCTGCGTTCCAATGTCGTCACGAAATTAGCTCATTTGCCCTGAAAAAGTCAAAGAGCAGTTATCAATCGTTATCATGTTAACTGCACAACACTGGGTAAACATGAACAATTGTTGTGAAAACGTAGTAAGTTAATTGTTCATTTCGTGTTGTTGTGAGGAGCATAGCGGTGGTATCAAATGGCCTCTGTGCCTCTTTCCTTCAAGGTGTTGAAGGATGAGAAACTTTCAAAAATTTTGCAAGAAAGTGCATGTGATGGTTTTAAATTGAGTTGTGAGACCTTCTGCTAAGATTGTAAAAAAAGGGGGAAATGATTTTGGATTTCGAATATAATACTCAATACGAGTCACCTAAAAATTCTAGTATTCGCAACTCCAATTTTCAAATTACAGAATTGGATGCTGGAAATTTCCGCTTTCGAAAAATTCGGATATCCGAATACTCGGGAATATCAATTTTCGAATTAGCCGAATATTCGACATATCATCAAATACTTGACTATACAAATGAACTCGATATTCCAGTAATACTGATATTTGGAAGAAAAGATTTGTCATAACCTGAACTTCAATTCAAATAAACGGCATAATAATTGAGCTAGACTTGCCAGATTCCTATCAGAAGCATCATCACGAGATGTATGAAGGCTTAGACACATAGACTATGGGAATCACATCAGCTGTTTTACGCCATTTAGCATATCCTGCTTGAGAATCACACATTTTGGATGTCACTATTCAAAAGATAGAAGAGACAGAGTGGCCCAAATGTCGAGAGCTTGGGTTTCTAACATAGGATGGATACATAGAGCCACTCTGGTCATCTTCACTAATGAACGAAGAAAAGGTAGGATCCTCACCTAACAGAGTCTGAGTAACCTAGAGTCTGGGGCCCGGACATTATCCGTGATTTCTCTGCATACTAGAAGAATTGAAGATTGGGAATTATAAGGGCAATAAAGGGAAGAAATAGCCTTAGCGCACATAAGGACTTTGAATATTGGAAGGATTGATGAGGAAGTTTTCCTATATGAAATGAAAAGGCGTATTTCTCAGAAAATAGATGTAATTGGATAGGGCTATATGTGAAGAGTAATAGCTATTTATCCTTTCTTTTCAAAGGAATTGACGTGTCTTAGAACTTTGAGAACATGCATCATTGGAAGTGTTACTATAATTTAAAATGAAACTGTAAGCATATACATGAAAAATGTTGCGTAAATTCGTTAGAATGAAACTTATGAATACCGGCTCACAATGAGTTATTATTTGTGGCACATTTCGCTAGGCTTTTGCGAATAGGGCTGTGGTCATAGTAATTATGAGTTGCCGCCAGTAAGTACAAATATTATAATCAGTTCGAGGAATATCTATTGACAGTTTTTCTCTGGACGGCTGGAAATTGCTCGTGTGGGACGAAACTGCGGAAACAGCAATTACTCTAAAAGATATTTGTTGGTGCTATGATTTCGGCTCATTTGCACGCTTCACCCCAGGAGACTGGTGCAAGAGGCTTTATCAATATGCACAACATGATATCAAGTAAGAAGAATATCGAATAACGGCACTGCATACCAATTTTCGAATTTTTGCTTAGGATAGTAGAAATTGGTAAAAAGGGATTTTGACTAAGAACCTAGGCTGCTGTGGTTTTGTACAAAGTTGTCTTAAAATGCTAAATAAAATAACCATTTTTGAACAGCTGCATGCATTAAAGATGATTTGCCAAATTCGAATCAT